ATAATGTTTTCTGTGAAGGTGGTTTGTTTTTGTTGTTTATAAGTTGTGAAAAGGAAAAAGGTAGGAAATTCTAGAACTCTTGGAAGTGTAGTAGTTTTTTCTAAAAAATGTCATATTTCATAACTTTGTTTGTTTTTTGGTCTTTCAAAAAGAGGACTGCTAAAGCTTTTGATGTCGAAGTATTTCCTTCAGGAGGTTGCACTTCTAAAAAAATTTTTTCATCTCTTGCATCCATAAGATTTTTGAATTTTTTGATTTTTAATTTTACTTAGTATCACTTTTGAGATTTTATTTTTTATTTTTTTATTTTTTTTTTTTTAACCATCAGAGTCTTGTTAGACACTTTATTAAATAAAACAAATGTTGAATTTACATATTGTGTTCTAACTACCTACTCTAAACTAAATTATTACTAATTTAATTTAGATGACGAGTTGACCCATCGACACCCACAAGGTAGGAATTGATGGTCAAAATTCCATCAGTTAATATAATTATAATAATATTTATAGAAAAGAACATTTCCATGTGTAGTTAGTAAGTTATATGAAGTTACTGCTTATTTGAGAGAAAAAGTGTATAGCTGTTTATATGATTTATGTCTGTTGTTTTTATTATTTTTTGTTTTATTGTTATTCAGTTTTTTAGAGGTTTTAGTAGTTGTATTTCTTTTTTGTTTTCTTGTTATGTTTTGGGTTTCTTCCCATTCAAGAGTCTTTTGGATTCGATGATATCAAGTTTGTTCTAATTTGGTTTGGATAAATGTTTGTATGTTAGTGTTTATTGTTTTTGCTGATGTTTTAGATTTTGTGATTGACTTTATCTTCTTTATCAATGATTTAGATATGTATCCTTTTATTGTATCTAGAAAACATATTTCAGCTGATTTGTTTGATATGGTATTTGTCTCTAATAGAAAAGCTGGTTCTTGACTTATGGTCTGTTTTATCGAGTCAAGTGTCATGTATTTGGTATTTTTTTTCCCTTTTAATTTAATTTGTTTTGCTGTTAGCTGCAAGGTTTTTTTAAGTATAGTATCAATATTATATTGTTCATCTAATGCTGTACATGTGAATACATGTATATTTGTTTCTTTTTCTTGGTTGCAGAATGGACATTTATTTGTAACATACAAGTGTGGACAACGTTGATGGAGTTTATCCATTGTTGGGAGTTCATTGTTTTGTAGCCTGAGTTTGAATGAGCGTTGTCTGGTGTCTTCAAATGAATTAGGATTCTGATATAATGTAGACAGGTAATTAGTTTTTTGTGTGAGATGCCAGTTTATGTTGTGTGTTTTTCTTTCAAAAATTGAGTTTGCTGTACGATTTTATGTTCTCCATTTATAGAAGGCTGCTGCGCGATTAATTTCTTAAATAGTTTTTTTTGATAGGTTCTTCTATAATTTTGTTCTTGAGTGTTGGAATGGCTAAAATATTAATGTATTCTCTATTGATTTTCAACTTGTCAAAATTCAGCCAGTTGTATTCTGTTATCCTAACTAGATTATCTACTATATTTTTGTTCAAGTTGTTTGAATGAACTTCCACTTTTGTAAGAGTGAGTTTTAGTTAGAGTTGATTAATTATTTGTTTGATTGTCTGTATAATTGGAAGGTAGTTTAGTTTGTGTAGGATTTTTGTTTAATCTCCTTAAAGGTGATTATTGATCATGCGGATTGCTTCTTTACTGTCTGTATTTATGATTACTTTCTTTCCTTGTGGTACCACTGTCAGAGCTGTCAGTATGGCCATTAATTCAGCTTTATTGGATAATAGGTATGAGTTAGTGTCTGCGACAAAGTACTGTACTGGTGATATAACTGGGTCTGTTATAAGCCACCCCATGCGCATTTGACTCATGATATATTTGTTGTTAAGTGAACCATCTGTATAGAAGATTATTTCAGCTGAATTTATTCTTACTAATTCAGATCGAATTTGTTTCAGTTTGTTTTTTGTTTCTGTTGTGGTGATAAAAACTTTGTCAATAATATTAGATGATTCTTTCGTCATTTTGGGAACTGCTGTATTGTTTCTTTTGATAATTTGTAATATATTACTATTATTGTTATTACAGTTATTATTGTTTTGTTTTATAAGATCTCTATATTGTAGCTTGGATAATAATTCAGTTCTTGGATTTATTATTCGGTATAGTCTTGTTGATGGTGCATAGTCTTGGAGTTGTTCTTTAGTTAATTGTACCGTTATATATTCCATTGTTAAATCTGTCACTTTTTGATAATTAATTAAACATTTTGTTCTTTTGTCTGAAATGCTTTTGTCTTTCATATAGCATCCTGAACACGGCTTTATTGTATTGGTTATGTCTGTGTCATTTAATTGTTCTAAATAATGGATAATATAGTTTCTGGATTGTTGATTTTGAGATTTTTTTTGTTTACTTTTACATTGGGTTTTCGCTATTTTACCAAATATTATTTTGTTTGTATAGTTTTTTAAGGCAATCTATCCTTTGTCTCATAGTTGTTCCAGTTGTGTTTTAATTTGTATCAGATTTGATGTTGTTGTATTGTTACCTCGGAGATTTTGAATATATGATAGGTTGATTAGGAGATGTGTTTTTATATGTTCATACCATTTGGGTGATATTCCCTTGTCACCTTTGACTTTTGTTCAGTGGTATTTCCAATCCATCAGGTTATAATTAAAGTCTAGAAGTTGTTCGAGAAATGCTATTTTGTATTGTTGTAGTTGTTTGGATAGGATAATGTATTCTTTAATATTATTATTTCAAAATTGGGAGATATGCATCTTACCTCCTGTTAGGGTGGTGGTAATTTTTGAGGAAATAGTTGATGTGGACCATTCTATTCTATATTGTTTTGCTAGTATTAGTATGTCTAGTGTAAGATTTTGATATGGGATTGTTTGTTCTTTTAAGATATTTGTTTCCAAGATTGAATTTGGAATCCATAATTGATTTTGTGCTGCTTGTAGTCTGATTCTTGTTGTAACTCCCATTATTGATTTATTATTAATTTTTGCGTTGAGAGTGTTGATATGTTGTTGTGCATATCTATAATATGTGTCGTATAACGCATATCCTAACTTTGAGTACATATGCTGTTGATGGCAGTTTGAGCGAATTCTGCTTTGTACTTTAGGGTTGTAAAGCATTTAGAATTGATTTTATTTTTTAATTCATCTGTAATCATTAAGTCTTGCATTAGATATTCAATTTTAGGAAAAATTACGTGATTGATAATATAACGAGCTTCTTTATCTGTTATTCATTTTCTTTGGATAGTGTTACAAATATCTGAGAATTTGTTCATAATTAATTTGATTTGGTGTGTTTTGTTTTTGTTGTTTTGTATATAAACTCCTAAGAGTCGAATTGCTCCCGTCTTTCTCACATCTATGATTTTTTGTTTTCCAAATTCTATTGATGCTTTTTCTTCTTTTGATTTTGTTACGTTAATTGTGAGCAGTTCTGATTTTGTGTGATTTATGGTCATTTCTGTAATTGAAAAAAATTCTTCTACTAGTGAGAGTAGTTTTATTAACTCTTCTTTTGTCGATGTTATGTAAGTAGTGTTATCCATGTAGGCGATAGCTATGCTTGCACGCAAAATTATTTTGGAACCCCGAAATTGCAATTTCGGTAAAAAAAGTCAAAATAGTTTTTTATAGAAGACGAAATTATTTTACTTAAAATCTGAAATTTTTTGACCACCCAGATTTATTCTTTGATTAAAGATACATATAACTAGATACTTTTTTTACTTCTATATATAGAATAGATTTTGCATAAATCTCAAAAAGTTGAAATACTTCAAAAATCCAAAGTCAATTTTGGGAACATATATAATCTAGATATCTCAAAAATTAACAAAAGATTTTGAATTATTTTAAAGTTAAAAGAAAAGCATCGGTCCAGAAG